ATTTCCAGGAAAAGACAAATAACACTTTATGGTCTCAAGATGCTCAGAATGAGACAATGGCTGGAAGAGACTTGGGGCTAGGGGGGTCAGGTTCCTCATGACCTCTGGGAGGACACCTAGCCAAGGTGCCTAGAGGATGGGCTTTCTAGGGACAGAGCTGCTCTGGATGCAGGAAGAAGGCTGTGAGCAAGTTTCAACAAGTTTCACTGGATGTGGGAAAAGCATTTCTCAGTGGAAAGATAATTCTAAAATTTCTCTCCATATCTCTAACATGTCTCATGCAGGCAGCTGTAGCTGGCTGCCCAAATTGCCAGGGTACTATGCTAATGGTGTGTCATGGGTCTAGAGCCACCAAGGCACCCCAGTGGGCAGCATGGCCTCAGCTGGGTGTGTTGTGCAGGTGAAGAGGAAAAACAGGCTTTTCCCAGAAACTACAAAGCAGAGTGAACCTGAACTCGAGGCCCCTGAACAATGATCAATGGCCAATTGTTCATGGCTACAAGAGATTTAACAGCCTACAGGAAGAGGAGGACAATGCCAAAGGAGACAGCAGAACACCACAGAGGGACAAAGGCTGAAAACTTTTGTAAACAGGTCTGGGAACCCTTCCATATCTCTGGAACCTGAGGCACTGGTTTAGTATCAAGCACTGAGTCAGCATTAGCTCCCAGTGCACGACTGGCACTTGGCTGGGAACTTGGCCCATGACCATCATCCCCTTTTTCACCCCTCCTTGTCCACAGTGTGTGTGGAGGGTTCACGCTGTGCTATTGGCTCTACAGGAAGTAAAGAAGAAAGGACCATTCCTGTCCCTACAAATTCCTTGGGGAGACAGCAATTTTCTATATGAAATATGTGCATGGAGGAAGACTGAGTTCAATGTTAAAAATTTTAAGTATGATTTATGAAAATATCTCCCACTTTTGATCCCTTTAGAAGAAAGGAAAAGAAATTTCTTCTTAAATGCAGAATAGAGCACAGATCTATATAGATGGGGTGCATTGCTTGAATCGTGGTAAGATTGGAGATCTCTCTCTCACATACACACACACAACACACACACACACAGAGTCATACGTACATAAACACATCAAAGGTACCACATGCCTGAAATCCCCTGATTGCTTTTAAAGCTTACAGCTTTTTGTGTTGAATGTCACTTGTATCATAGAGAGTTGACATCACAACTGAGTGTTTGCAAGACACTCAGGAAAGGGAGATGAGAATTTTAAGCTGGAGCCCAGCAAGACGTAAGGAGAGTACACTAAGAAAGATTGAGAAGAACATTGTTTATGTCCATTATTTTGTTTCAGATCTACCCTGCCTCCCAGCAACAACTGACCATATATTTTGGACACTCACCCACAAACTCACTCAGGAACACAATATGGATCCCACATCATGACAGAGGAGAGAGATTGTACCTAAGACCCTGGAAAATGACCCCCAGCTCTATTGAATCCTTCACAGCTAAGTCCCAGCCCTAGCTCCTTCGTTTCTGGTCTCTAGTGGCCACTGCACTCCGAGGGCTGGAGCCTGAAGCCCATGCTGTGCTCTCGGGGACTTCTGCCCCAGCCAGTTCTCCTGGTATCAAATAAACCTCCTCCAGACAGGTGGGTGAGAACAGACCTGATATGGTCCCTCACAGGCAAAGACCATATAGTTGGAAATCAGTATGGCCACTGCCTCTGGACCCAAAACTCCCACTGGCCTCTGAAGAGGAGCCTTCTTCCCCAGTAGAAGGAGGAATGCAGGGCCAGATCTGGACAGAGTCCACCAAAGGAATGCAAACTTGCCAACCGTGTGTTTGATGCACACTTGGTAAAACTCTTCTAAACTGAGATTCTTCTCCTGAGGCTAAGTTGTCTCTTCCAGTTCCTGAAGTGGTTTGGAACTGGGCCCAGAAAAATGCACACGGTCAGGCAGGCAGCCAAAGTTTGTTCTCTCTGGTTCGACGGCCTCCTCTCCTCTTCGCCTTCCCAAGAGGCACGTCATGTGTGTAGGGTCATGTCTTAACTCCCAGAGACTCAGCGTTCATGGAGGGTCTAACCAGGAGGCTGAGGACCAGGCCTCCTTCTGAGCAACTGTTACCAGGGCTGGATCTGGATCAGCAAAGTTGGAGTGAAGAGAAGTGAGACAGACATAAAACTGGGCTGTCCAGAGCTCTCAGGCTAGGTGTGGCCAGCTAGGTTCAGGAAGGATTTTCTAGAAAACTCTCTTGCAAGTAGAATGAACTACTCAAACACTTGCAGAACAGGAAAAAGCTGTGCCCCTTTTTTTCCCTTCAAATGTTTACCAAGTTTTTCAGTTGGCACTGAAATTACAGTCCACTTAGGGCATGGATATGCATGAAGGCAGATATCCCTGAAGGTCAGCGTTATCTCTGAATTTACACAGAGACCAAGCACACATTTCCTGGGCAGGGAAGGCTCAGGAGGAGAATGAATCTGTGGCCTCTACCCTGTCCACTGACCAAGTCTCTCCTAACTGTCCTGAACAATCCTTATCACTTGTCAATTGGGCAAATGAAGATTTAATATCCTTAACAAAAAGACTACTTAGTTTTGACTGAAGTACACCTTGAAGCCAGTCAGAGGAATGGCTCCTGAAAGTGAGGTCAGTCCTCACTACTTTACAGCACATTCTTCCTGGTTCTCTTATCCAATCTCCAGGACATGACAGGACGTGACAGGACATGACATGTATGTGTATGTGAGCATGTACATGGGTGGGTGGGCGTGCATGAGTGTGTATGTGCATGGGTGTGTACATGCATGAGTGAGTATGTGCATGGGTGTGCACGGGTACGTGGAGAGAAATATGTGAAAATGGGTGACTGCAGCTTGGAGTGTGTTGATTTCCCCCTAGGTGATAAAAAGATCGTATAGGTCCTGTTCTTGGCCCTCCTAGCATTGTCAGGGGCAGTCACTGTCTGTTCCCTCGCCTAAGAAACTGGAGGTGACAGGTGTGGATGGAGAATAAGGCATGGGGTGCACAGACATGACAGTGTGAGGAGCTGACCAAACCATGTACTGGCGCAGCCAGCACCATCTGGCCTTCCTTCATCCACTCTCTCGCCAAGCCCCAAGTCAGTAGTGTTGGAGATAGAGCAAATAAATACAGATGCCCGGTTAAATGAGAACACAGTGTGTGGGACTGGGGAGAGAGCTCAGTGGTAGAGCACTTGCCTAGCATGTGTGAGTCCCTGCGTTCCATCCCCAGCATTGGAAAACACACACACACACTCACACACACACACACACACACACACACACATACACACACACATACACACACACACACACATACACACACACACACATACACACACGCACGCACACACACGGATCCTTAATTAGCTGAAAAAGGTGGGGACAGGGGAAGGAAGATGCTGATGGACTTTGAGGTTACTGAGCTCCCAGGTTTCATCCCAGGTGACCCACATTCTCACCTTCTGATCAGGTACCCATCTGCAGGTAACCCACAGACCTGACTCCATCAGGGAATCTAATTCCAGACTGCCCCAGATGAAGATTCTTGACAAAACAGCATCTTCAAAGACAGGCTGCATATGGCCTGATTATCTTCTGTCACCACATTGACTTTGAGATCCGAGAGAAGCTACCCAGTGTTGACCAAAATTCCTGAGTCTGAGTGCTGTGGTCACTGAAATGCAAGGTTCCAAAATTGTCCTCCCAGCCTTCCTGTGCCTGCTCTGTGACCTAGTCCTTTTTGCTGTAGTTTAGAAAGCAACACAAAGCTGTCTCTGTCATTCTCCCAAGAAAGAAACTGAAATCTGCAAGAGGTTTACAGCAGCTTAGTTTGCCCTTAGGCTTCACAGGAAAAGGGAGCAGGAGGAAAGATTTCTGGAGGTTTCTCAAAACCTCCACTGTTTACAAGCATAAGAATGTGAAAGCAGCTCACATTTAGTCCTCTTCCCAGCAACTTGGCTTTTCCAGGAAGGCAAAAGAGAAAGGTACAGAAGCCACTAAGGAATCACATTACTGGTTGCTGAACAAGTGTCAAAGCAAAAAGGAGAGGGAGGAAGCCTCTGGGGAAGGACTGGGGCTCCCAGGGAACTGAGCATCACATTGCCCAAAACTCTGAACAGTCCTGAGCCATGAAGAGGCAGAACTTGTATCAGGACCCTGGAGCAGACTTTGGACAAGGGCAGTACCTGAGCAAGTCCTTGAGGTCTGGGTGAGCTCTTCTCTCTACCCCTGCTCCTCTTCCCCCAGGTTTGGAGGGAGAACTTGCCAGTAGGTACAGGAGGACAACTAAGGGAATGGCAGAGCTGAACCCTCGAAAAGTAATGTGACTCCTTCTCACCCCAGTCTCCTACATCACCCTTTGCTAGAAGCGTCTCCTCCACTGCTAGGTGGGAGTATCACACAGGTGTTGGTGCTTCTATGCCGTGGTCACTGTTTCCAGCTCCTGGTCTCATTCAGAAGTCCAATCCATCAAAGAAACTCCAGAGTCTATGATTTTGAAATCTACCCCCTGCCCTAGTTCAGTCCCCCTTCCTAAGGAGACACAGGCTGCAAGGACAGGACTCTGCTTTTCCACTCGTTCTTGCTCCAATCTTCTCCATTATGAGGAAGGTGGGATGGGAGGGAGCAGGGGACACCAGAGTGCCCATAGGAACAACTGAGCGACTTCTCCATGAGGGTCTGCAAATAACTAGGAGGCTAGGTCTCCCTGACTCTGAATGTTAGCATTTTCAGGGCTAGGAGCTATCATCTGAACAAGTAAGCTCCAGCTGGGGAAGCAGCAGGGTCAGACCCACAAAGACTTGATCCTGTGCTGGGCTGTCATTTTCCAGGAATAGGAAAGAAGCCCTGCAGCTTGGATCAATCCAACACTGCAGCTCAGCTACCCTCCCCTGAGTGTGAATGTGGAACTGTCCAGCTGAATTCTGAAAACCAGCCATTTCCAGGAATAGAAACTGAAACTTCCCTTCACTGGAGTCCCCTCCCTGTGGTGCCACGGCAGGCAGGACTCAGGTATAGAAAATGCAGAGCAGAGAGCAAGGGCTGTGCTGAGGATCAGGGACTAGAAGGGAACCCAGGAAGACCAGACTGCCCTTTCCAGATCGTCTTCCCTCCTAGATTATCATCTCTTCCTAAGTGGATCTCAGATCTCCACGCCTCACTTCTGTCCTCACTTGAATCTGGATTCCTCTTTTAAATCATCCCATAGGGAGCTGCCCCCTGAGGACAGCAACCTCTCCCCAGGGAAGGAGTGACATACCAGGAGGGCCACTGACATCTGATTACAGTCACTCTTCTGGAGCAGGTATGTGAAGAGCTCCTAAGTGCAGCTTGGCTAACTACCCTGCTCATGTAATGACATGAACAGTGGAACCATAGAGCAGGGCAAAAGGTTGGGGGTTGGTTATTCAATGCTCACAGCAGTACCCCTCTTTGACTTTCTTCAGGATACAGAGCACCTCAATATTGTTACTGCTCCACCCCATCCCACCCACAAGCATGGAGGCAATGTGCCTCTCTCTCACCTATAAGTTCCTGCTGTTTGGGTCTTTCCATGGGGATCAAGTTTGGAAAAGAGGTCAGAATGTGCCACCCACACCTCTTGGGTTCTGGAACTTCTTCATTTTCTCTATAGGGACAAACTCCCAGATCAGAACCATCTGCAAGCAATATCTAGGGTTCCCTGAAACTATAGAAAGCTCATCATTTCCTTACCTGGACCACCATGGAATAGGAAGTTCAGGTGGGGTTTTGAGCATGAAGTGCTCAAAAAGTGACTTTTTTGTCTGATTCAATTCACATGTTATCTGAATTAGACAAACTGGCTTAGTTGCAGAGCACAAACTCATTCCTTTACAGATACTATAATGAGGTGGGGGCCTTTTAAACACCATCTTCCCAGAGCATGCTAGGTTCGATACTGTTCCCGCTAATCATGGAGAGACATATCACACTTTCCTGGAATGAATAAGCACATTTCTTTTCTCTGTTTTTCCTGATAGTGATCACATGAGGAATATAACTAGGGTTTTAGACAACATTAAGATCTATGTTCACTAGAGTCCTGTCTAGATTCATAACCAGTCCAGGCTGGTTCCCACATCTCTGTGAATCCTCCTGATAGAGCTCAGGATAGTTGGATGAGGCACAAACTATGTAGAACCCTAAATAGGAATCCATTCATAGGTGTTCTTCATTCTGCATCAACCAAGCCATGAAATCTATCTGACAGGTTATAGCCCATCAAACCAACTGGAATAGAATATAATAAAATTTAATTCAACACAATAGAATAAAGTGAGCAAAGGTGCATCCATGTGGCACAACCTTTCAAGTATATGTGTGTGTGTGTGTGTGAGTGTGTGTGTGTGTGCAAAGTGTGCACTTGGTTCCTATGTGAAATGCATCTCTTACTGTGGCTCTCACCCAGAAGATGCAAAGATACTGCTCACAGAGTCTAGTTCTCCTTTCCAAGCCTGACTTCCTCTCTCTAGTTGAATCTACCTGCTTGGCTCCTTCCAGATACCAGTTACCCATGTCTTTCTTTGGTCTGTCCATAGGCAGACACATGGGCTGCAGCAGGGCATAACCCCAAAAGCCCCCAGGTACAGTGTTACAGTGATGACCAGCACCAGGGATGCAGACATGGACCAGGGGTCAGTCAGTAAGGGACTGGAAGTCTGGAACGGGCCTTGGAATCATAGACACATCTCCCATAAGGCCAAACACAGAATGCTTAGGTGAAGACAGGTGGGGAGTCCTTAGTTCAAAGCAGGCTAAGTCACATAAATGGTTTTTAAAAGTATAGAATGATCTAGGGGCATGACTCAAGTTGTCGAGTGGTTGACCCTGAGTTCAAACCAAAGCACTACCAAAAAAAGTATAAGGTTTGTGCCCACCTCCCACAACCACCTTGAGGTGATCAATACCCATCCCCAGCCACTCCCCAAAGGAGAGCACTTTCCAGAAGAGTACAATGAGCAGGTTGTAGCTCTTCAGGTGACAGATTTTAGGAAGAAAAATTCATGGACCTGTTAACCAGTAGTTAAGGATATAAAAAAAAGTGCTTCATTCATCAAATAAAATGGATTAAATACTTGCTGTATATGGCACTTAGCTAATACTTTAATGAATTTATTCTTTGTGCCAAGAATGCATATACATTTAGATACAACAAGCCTCTTCGAGCAAATCAATTAATACTCTCTGATTGTAAGTATCAATTGGAAGACTACGTTCTTTCAATGATCTATCAAGGAGTGCTCAAAGTGATAGGAGTCCATAAGGAGGGTTGTGTCAGTTTTAGACCAATTAAGTGATTTAGGGCTGATTACCTTTTTTCCTTTCTGTTATACTTTGACCAAAGGGATCCCTGACAAGTATATTCTTTTCTTAACCTATAATAGGGGCAAATAGAGTTGGAAGAATACAGAGCTGATCCAGGGACAGAAGAAACCACTACTCATGTCCTGGACAGGAGATAGTTCTTCTGGGGCCTTGACAATGTTGAGGCTCCACAGGTGTCCATGTCACCCCTCCCCCAAGCTATGACCCTGATGTCTGATAAGAAGGTGTCAGATAGGACCTAAAACAAGACAAAGTGCCAGGTTAAGGGAGGTGTATATTTAGAAAATAATTAAAAATGAATAGAATTTCCATCCTCACCTATTTCCTTCAACCACCCAACCACATCTTCTCCTACCCTGTAAGTAAAGTTCTCATACAGGAAAGTAAAGCAAACAGAATTTGAACATGACCAATGATAGGCAAGGGAATCAGAGTTGGGCTTAGGACTAGATGTTACCAGACACTACAGAACTCCTTTCCTCTGGTCACTCCTCCCATTTAGAGTATTTTCAGTCTTGGACCTAGTCCAGGGCCTCATTCTCTGGCTTCTAGCCAGCTTTGCCTCAGCATGCACTAGCCTTCTACCAAGCCATTCACACTCACACCAGATCAGGACACCCTGACTCCAGACAGAAGGAAGAACCACCTGACAGGCATACAACACCTTGAGTCTTTCACAGGGACCACTGAAGGAAGATTCTGGATAGTTTCTGAAGTCTCAGACCTCAGGGGTTTATAGTTCCAAAGCATAAATGAGGTATGATGACAGTCTTTCCCAATATCCTATCTTCCACTAAACTCTGGATATCTCTGTCACCATTCAATTACGCATCTTCCCAACCTAGTAGATGTAAACCCCTAAAATATAGAGCTCATTGTCTCCTAAAGTGAAGACGAGGTGGACATTTTCATTACAGTCACAAACCAGTGGCAGGATGAAGATAGGAGGGATGGCAGACAGTGGTTTCCATTCTCTTCCACAATGATAAAAGTTGTGTCCAGACAGTGGAAAATAACAATTGGCAGTAAGTGAACCAACGTTCCAATGGGAAGCTGCTCAGCATCCAGCAGTCATGAGTTTCTGTTAAACAAGATTTTCTTTGCCATCCAGACAGAAACATAGAATCACACTGTGAGGTTCAAACTTTGGTTCCCTCCCCACCATCTCTGTAATGCAGTATTGCTTATTTATTCATAATTCTCTTTTTATTCATCCATAATCAGAAATAATTGTATAACTTATCTAATAGGATTTAAGGAATATTAAGATAAGGGATGCAAAGGACCCAGCACAGACAGATTCACAGAGGACCTTCTTGCTGTGTGGTTAAAGTTGGAGGGAGGAAGAACCAGAGGAACGACTTCCTCAGGGATCCTGACAAGACCAGAGACTTCACCAAGAGTGCTCAGAGCTGTACAGAGGGCTTCACACCAATCTTGTCATGAAACCATCACACAAATCCTGGGAGGTGGGTAGTATGACTTCCCTAGGTTTCAGAAACTTGTCCACAATGCAAGGAGCCAAGCTGGTCCTCGAACACATGAGGGACTTTGGCCTATTACTGCTATGTGAAGGTCCACTCCAAGACCTTGAACTAGGTAAATAGCAGCCCAAGGTGTATGGGGAACAATGTTGGGTTGTAGATAGGAGCCACCCCAGGAGAGGTATTGGGAGGGTATGTGCCCAGGGAGCTTGAGCAGGGCAAGAAACTGCACCTTGGGACCTACTAGTGTCTATGAAATTTGTCCTACATGTGGACAAGTGGGTCTTCTGGAGAAGACTCCTGCCACCTCAGTCTTAGTACAAGTCTCCATCTGCTTCAAGAGACCCAATGTGTGGATCTGGCAGGGAGCTCCTTTTGGAGCTGCATGGAACCTCTGTGAGGTTCAAGAAAAACTCTTCAGTCAAAGAAATGGCCTTGAGTTTTCATTTTTTTTAATTTGCATTCATGCACAAAGAAGGGAATTGAATTCTAAAGGAAAGTAACATAGCAATTACCTATGATCGTGGGATTCTGAAAGCCCATCAGGTAGGAACAATGTTTGTGTTGCAACCTTGAGTGGAATTCACTGTAATCTCAACCAATTCTCTTCCCAGTCTTGCCCCACAAATGCCTCAATGCCATGGCAAGGATTCAGTCAAGAAGAGAAGCCTACCTTGACATAACAGCTTGAATATCTATAGTAATAGTGACACAATCAACAGTTATGCAGAGAAATGTGCAAACATAAGCACTGACCTAAACATCAGTAGATTATTTGGACAGATTATTTTCACATATCTGTTGGAATTGAGGAGAGATATGTATTTACTATCTACACTATTGCAAAAACATCATCCCAATTTTACAAGAAAAGAAATATTTTGGAAAAAGACAAAAACATTTATCATGGTATGGTAAAAAAATAAATAAATAAATTATACCTGACAGAGAAGGACAACCTCAGTTGGGTGTTAGTGGCTCATTCCTGTAATCGTAGCTACTTAGGAAGCTAAGATGGGAGGATCACAGCTCAAGGACAGCCCTGGGCAAATAGATCACAAGACACCATCACCAAATGACCAGAGAAAATGGGCTGGAGGTATGGCTCAAGAGGTAGAGCGCCTACTTTGCACAAGCATGAAACCCTGAGTTCAAACCACAATAACACCAAAAAAAAAAAAAAAGGACAAGGATAACCTCTGTGAGTTCAGGGCTTAAAAGTCCTCACCAGTGAGTTGTGGAATCTAAACATCTGGCACAAGCTGGACTCCTAGTTACCTATTTGGCTGAAGTAAGAACATGGGCTCTCACTGAGTTACCCAACTGACATTCTGCTGCTCAAGTCCAAGCATCCACAGTCCTACTTTGGGGCTTGTATTTAACACAATGGTTATAGAGCCATTTTCAGGTTCTTCCTACCTGCTAAGAATGCGCAAATATCCTGAAGGACTGTTTTGGTGTTCTGATGGTAAATGAAATGTCTTTAGTTATGGATCTGAAAGCCTTGGACTGGGATTTAAAGTCTGTTGATTCCTGTGTCATCCTACATCTAACTTCCTGGCTCTTCTACTTCTGCAGGTTGCTCCACTGCTAACCAACATGGCAGAGGCCCCCGTGTCCTATTGCACTCCGTTGTCTACATCCTTCCCCTCTACTGCGTCATACCACACGGGCTGGAGTATTTTACCTGAGGAGGTCATCAGGAATATTGAGAGGGCCTTGCAAAACGGAAAGTTGCTGGAAGTGATCCCTGTGACCAGGGCAGTCATGGAGAGAGTGTCCAGGACCCCAGTGAGCATCGCAGTGACTGGGGATTCAGGCAATGGTATGTCATCCTTCGTCAATGCGCTTCGAGACATTGGTCATGAGGAGGAGACCTCGGCTCCCACTGGGGTGGTGAGGACCACCCAGACCCGAGCCTGCTACTCTTCCTCCCTCTTTCCCAACGTGGTGCTGTGGGATCTGCCTGGCATGGGGGCCACCACCCAAAGCTTTGAGAACTATCTGGATGAGATGCAGTTCAGCCAGTATGACCTCTTCATCATCATTGCATCTGAGCAGTTCAGCATGAATCATGTGAAGCTTGCTAAAACCCTTAAGGGGATGGGAAAGAGGTTCTATGTAGTCTGGACTAAGCTAGACAGGGACCTCAGCACAAGTGTCCTCTCACACACCCAGACCCGGAAGAATATCCGAGAGAATGTCCAGGAAAATCTCCAGTGGGAGGGCTTGCGTGACCCTTCTTTATTTCTGGTATCTAACCTTGACCCTTTATTGCATGACTTCCCTAAGCTTAGGGACACACTGCAAAAAGACCTCTCCAACATCAGGTACCATGCTCCCTTAGAGGCCCTTTCCCAGATCTGTGAGAATATTGTCAATGATAAAGTGACTGACCTGAAAGAGAGAATAGCCAAAGAGCATTTTCAGGATTTTCTTGACATCAGGGATGTTGATGACTTGAGGGAGGTTCTGGAAGCCTACCGATTGTGCTTTGGTATAGATGATCAGTCACTTCATCAGGTAGCTCATTGTATGGGGAAAATGGCAATAGAATACAGGGCCATCACAAAGTCCCAGGATTTGCGCAGTCTCTGTAGCAGGGATGGAAACTAAAAGTCATGACTTGCTTAGTCATGACAATAATCCCAGACTTCGTAGTTGTGCCTCATGCTTGTGTCGCCCAATCACCTGCTGCCTCAGATACATGAGTCGCCCAGTCATCCGCTGCATCAGACGCATGACACAAGACGCATCCTTAGTTAATTGCTGAGGACACCAAGACCGTACTGAAGAAAATTTGGAAGACTCCACTATACCTGCCTGAAATCTAACGTTTCAATAGTCTGGTATGCTTATTCTCAATGTGAAAGTCAAGCTGCCTCGAGATCCTCTTCTCATTTGGGTCCCTATTTCCCCCACTAGAAATCAAAACATATAATTTAACACTTTCTATTTCTAAGGATTACAAATTCTTTGAAAGGAGTTAAGGAAATTGCTCATCTTTCTACTGTTCCTTTGAGGAACAAGTGTGTGTTGAAATCATTTAACCAAGCTTCCTGGGTTTAGTATGTAGAAATTTTGCTTTAAGTTGTCAATTGTGATGTAATCCTAAAGTATTAAAGTTAATTCCTCTTCTGTAAAGCCTTTTTATTCTCTTTCTCCTTCCTTTCCCTAAACACCCCTGCTGGTGACTCAGCTGGTGTAAAAGGGCACTTGCTCACAAGTTTGGAGAGTGTGATGGCAACTGTTCTGTGAATCTAACAGGGTGTTCAGGTCAGGACTCCAGGCAGTACTCCTGCCACAAGGTGCTTTTCCTTCACACATTCTTCACCAGGTGCCAATCGGTCTCTTAAAAAGAAATGCAGGTTTATATGAGTCAGGGTTCTGGCAAGAAACAGATGGCATCGTCAAACTGGATCATTTGAGGAGGATTTGCAAAGCATATGTCTTTGAAATGTGTGAGCAGGATGCAAAGATATCACCAAGAGAAAACACTGACTCTCAAGCAAGCACAGTGAAGAATGCCAGCATCCCCAGTCCTGGAAGGGCAATGTTTTACTCTATTTGCTGTGCTGTAACAAAATACTTCTGGCTGGGTAAGATAAAAGGAAATGAGGTTTACTTACTCACACTTTAGGGGGCAGAAACTCCACAATCAGTAACCCCATCACTTAGCCTCTGGTGAGGGACTCCTTGCAGATGGCATCACAATGGCAGGGTCAGGAGCACATGTGGTAGAGAGACAGGAAGCCAGATATTCAAGGACCAAGCTCTCCCCTTTTTATAATAACATACTCTTATGGACAATAACTCAAATCTAGAGCCCACCATGAATCCCTTCCAAGTACAATGACACCAGGACCTGATCACCTCCAGTAGGCTCTACCTCTTAAAGATTCCACCATCTCTATACCACCACATTGTGACCAAACTTCCAGCACATGAGCCTTTGGGGAACAGATTTGAACCATATCTCAACCACAGCAGGCAAACAGAGGGGCAGAATATTGGCCCCTGGAGATGGCAGGTGTATACAGACAACTATCTGACAGCTGTGGATACAGGAGAGGGAGGTCACTTGGCCCCAGCTGCCTGGCAGGAAGAATCTGAAAAATCAAACCCTTGGCCTCACTTCCTCCCTTCTTTTCCTGCCTATGTTGCCCATTGGCCAATCCCAAGAGTTTTAAGAGAATGAGAGCCCCATAGATAAAGTCCCTGCAGGTCAGCCATTTAGCATACCTAACAACATGCGGAAAGACAATGGACCTGGAAAAGTAGAGAGTATACTCAAACCTGAAGTGTTTGAAAATTATTACAAAGCAGGCTGGGCGGTGGTAGCTTATCCCTGTAATCCTAGCTACTCAGGAGGATCACGGTTCAAAGCCAGCCTGGGCAAATAGTTCTTGAGACCCTATCTCGAAAGAACCCATCACTAAAAGGGCTGGTGGAGTGACTCAAAGAGTAGGCCCTAAATTCAAGACCCAGTACAGCCAAAAATAAATAAATAAATTACAAAGCAATGCTTGCCAATGCCACTTAAGTATGAAAAATGGCAAACAACTAATTCGAATAGCAATTCTGGACAAAAGCTGTGAACTGAGTATAAACAATGTTTGTGACTTTGCCTATGTTTTTAATACAGTTTTCCAGACATGTACTGAATTAGTTATGAGTGTCGCATTACTCAGAACATCCAGAGTTTAACCAGTCTCCACCATTCATCTATTCTCAGCTCACAGATGTGTTCCTTCTTCACTATCCCCTGTCTCAGATCATTCACTGATCAGGGGGCCAAGACAAAGCTAAATTTCTCTTTCACACACATATATAGAACGGCCCAAAATATCCAAGCCTCATCAACTCAACATGCTACATAGATCACAAATATATTTCTCTCCCACTTAACCATTTCTTATCTAAACTGTTACAGTTGCTCGATGTGTCTCATCCCCATTTTACATAACTCCAGACAGATTCAGGTCACCTTCATATATATATGACCAGATGTCTCAGTAGGCCTAAGGCAGTCCCAGTTCTCAGTTGCCAGAGTGTCCTTGTTTAGATGATAGGTTTTATGTTCATCTTCTAAGCTTCATTTTCCTTCTAATGTCCTGGAGGTGGTGGTACTAGAGTTTGAATTCAGGGCCTTGCATTTGCTAGTCAGGTGCTCTACCACTTGGGCCATGCTCCCAGCCCTTGTCCCTAAGATGGAAACATCCACTTAGCTTAATGGATGGATCATCAGAAACCTCTTGGGACATCTCTTCCCTCGTTTCCCAGCCCTTCTGAACTTGCACACTTAGTTCCAGCAACAGGTCTACTTGCACTTTTCCAGATGCACTGAGCCTCTTCCTTTTCTATCTTTGCTTATGCTTACTTTTTCATCTCAGAGACTCTTCCTCTTCCATTTGCCCAGTTCATTCCAACCCATCCTTCAAGGTCTTCCTTCGACATCATTTCCTCCTTGGAAATCTTTCCTTACAACCCAGACTGGGCCAAGGCTCTTTATCCAGGCCCCCAAGAAAAAAAAACAGCACTCTGTGTATCATGGTAACATTTGTGAGACTAGCTAAGTGGCAATTCTGAATATTTGGGCCTCCGAACAAAAGATTAGAGCAGAGGCATGGGTGACTTCCTGAATAATGGCTGGTGCACTACTCTGATACCCCTTTCAAAGTCAAGGTCGGAGGGATAATAGTAAGCTATCCAATTACTTTGGGTACTTGGGAACATGCCATGGCATGAAAACAAGATGCATCATCATAAGGCAGAGACCTAAGAGGTTCTTGTTTCTCAAGAATTAACAGTGCCTTGGAAGACAGCCCTACTACCCATGTGCCTTCTAAGAGAATGCAGAATTAGCCGAGGTAGGGGCTTTCATTGAGAAAGAGGAATGGTGGCTTGTATCCTCCTCTGCTATCTGTTGCCAGGATCTGACACTATAAAGCTCTTTTCAGCACATCAAGGCATACCACAGGTACTAACCTCCAAGGATCAGCCTAGCCCACAATCGCTGGAAACTGAGAACAAACCCAAGGGCTAGGAAAGTAGAAACCCAGAATATTTGTGCTTATCCAGATTTCCTTCATAGAACATAGATTCAAAATAGAACTTAAATTCAACAATAGAAAAAGAATTAACCTGATTCACACATCTTAGAAAGTATCCTTGGGTTTGCATTCCATACTATTCATATCCATGAGGCAGGATAGATCAGGGAAAATGAGGCATGGGAGCCAACAGTGATAAACATTGTGTTAATGGATAGCTTGATTAAAACCACACAGATACTAGTTGTAAGAAAATATAGGCCCCAAAAGTGACCACGTGGAGAGGAGTGATCTGGCCAAGAGATTCTTTATTGCCGGGTGGGAGAGGGAGAGAGCAGAAAGAGAGCCAAGAGAGAGAGGGAGAGAGGGGCAGGGGCTTAAATACCCCTCAATGGGACTCAGCATGATCTGATTGGTTAGGATCATATGGTTCATGCTGATTGGAGGTTGGGGCAGAAGAAGGATTCAAGCTAGACTTGAGGCAGGACAGTGACCCTGGAAAACAGAAGCTTAAGGGTGCAGTAAGAACTGAAACCTATCGGCGCCATTATTGCCAACATTCCTCCCTTTTTTGTTTGTTAAGGAAGGGGGGCGTTGTGTTCGCTCTGGCTTCTTCAAGCTGGCAAGGGGCAGCGTAGGGGAAGGGAGGGTTAGTTGGCAAACAATGTTGGGGTGGTGAGCCCCATGATGGCGTACACCCAGGCTCTGAAAATGAAGACTTCCTCTTCCCTGAAGTTGATGAAGGTCCCTTGTAGCCATAGGTCATAAAGAGTCTCGAGCCAATCCTCCAACCTCTGCATGGTGGGTATCAGCCAACTATCCTGGCGTTTTGGAGAGGTTGGTATCCCTGGAGGTACAGCTGGTTAAATTTTTGATTAGCAATAACAGACATGTAGCATGATACAAGGGAGGAAGCTTAAGAATAGGAGAGCGAGAACATAGGCATCAGGATGGGCATTGGCCAGGCGAACCACTGTGAAATGTTGTTCCCTAGACAATTTCAAGAGTCCTCCAATTCCCTTCTCCATTTTCTAATTGTTTCTTGAGAGGTGTCGCCATTGGGGAACCCATTAAGCTTGACAGCAGTGGGTGTCATGAGAATGACCAGATGAGGGCTGGTCCATCAAAGTCCCAATGGAGAGGGTAGAATATCCTTTTTGGAAAACAAGATGCCCTGGTTTAACAGAAATTGTTATAGGGTGGGGCAGGATCTGGTCTGTAAGCTCTCTGAGAAGTTCCCTGAGAAGGCAGGTAGTCAGCCAGAGGAGCAGAGTCTGTTGGAGGCAAGTGTTTCTAAGAGAAATGGGTGGCCATACATTATCTAAGACCTAAATAGGAATATTAGGAGGAACATTAAAAGGTGTCTGTTCAGGGACTGCATACCTAGGGATCTAAATTCTGCAAAATCCTGTAACTGCCAGGAAAGCTGTAAGCTGTCTTATGGTATGGGGGTTGGGAAACAGAAGATTGGGTTGATGCATTTATGACTCAGTGAGTGAGTCTATCCCTTTAAGGCAACACCTAGGTAGGTGACCTGTGGGAGGCAGGGACTGTCAGAAATTTTCATTTTTGGAGCCTGGGTGTACACCATCATGAGGCTCAGCACCCCAACATTGTTTGCCAACTAACCCTCCTTTCCCCTACGCTGCCCCTTGCCAGCTTGAAGAAGCCAGAGCGAACACAACGCCCCCCTTCCTTAACAAACAAAAAAGGGAGGAATGTTGGCAATAATGGCGCCGATAGGTTTCAGTTCTTACTGCACCCTTAAGCTTCTGTTTTCCAGGGTCACTGTCCTGCCTCAAGTCTAGCTTGAATCCTTCTTCTGCCCCAACCTCCAATCAGCATGAACCATATGATCCTAACCAATCAGATCATGCTGAGTCCCATTGAGGGGTATTTAAGCCCCTGCCCCTCTCTCCCTCTCTCTCTTGGCTCTCTTTCTGCTCTCTCCCTCTCCCACCCGGCAATAAAGAATCTCTTGGCCAGATCACTCCTCTCCACGTGGTCACTTTTGGGGCCTATATTTTCTTACAGTCGTCAGGTGCCATAACCAATCAGGACTCCCCCAACGTGGCATGAGGCATACCCAAGTGAGGCTTGATCTCGGCCCACAGGGAGGGAGCATGAGCTCCCCAGAGCCAGAATCATCATGAGGCCAGAGTTGGCAAGGAGCTGTTGGCTTGACATCATGACAGGACAGTCCCTTAGGAAGATAGGAAGAGACAGGCAGGGCGAGCAGCACAAGGAAGTCTGCTTTTGGCTAGTCCTCAGCAGGGAGTTTCCCCCAGCCGGAGCATCCAGCAGGGTCCCAGACACTCAATGGTCACACCTTAGGCATGCCCATGTTGCTTTGGCACTCAAGTCATACTGACCTTGGTCCAGAAGAAAGGAAGTCCCTTCGTGGTCACCAAAATGTTACGTGCCAGTGTCGAGGGTCCTTGCATTCACAGGCCAGGAAACTGGCTCGTGAGGCAGCTGAATGATAAGCCAAAGCCGGTATATAAAGTAGGATTTATTAGAGAGAAAGG